TTTTCTTCCTTGGTATATTTTAATTTGTTCTTCGTCAGTGGATTGATGTTGTTGCTGTTTTGTTGTACATTGTTGCTTGGTTAAAAAAAAAAAAAGAATACCACTGCACTTCTCATTTTCAAGTCCACTGCATGGCTGTCAAGACGATCAGACGGGAATGTGTCTCCTGGTTAAGTTTAAATGCAGGCCCTTTCTTGCTTTCTCTTTACCTCGTAGAAAAGAAGTTCTGGTTTTGCGGCAAGCAGATGGTCACAATGCTGACACCTGAGCTTAGCAATTGTGTGAGCAACTTGCTGGGATTGTTCGGCCGGAGGCTGGAGACAGGCGGCAGCAGCGCCCTGAGTGGAGCCGGGGGACAGGGCTGGGGGTCAGTCACCTCCTTCTGGGGGTGGGCTCCCCACCACTTTGCCCTGGGAGGGGCCTGCTGAAGGAGTTGCTCCTTTTGGCTTGTTGAATACGCTCTGAAAGAACACAAGACACAAAGGTTTTCCCAAGTGAGTAAACAATTTAGGGATTTCCACTTTCATACATTAACGAATTATAGTTCCCCCACAAGCATTTTTGTTAGTTTTGTCATAAAAACATTCACAGAGAGTATCTAAATGGCAAAAGGGAAGAAATGGAATCAAAAGACTGACACATGCAACATTAAAAGATCCAAGACTGCAGTTCAGGCTTTCGAGCAAAGCCCTCCAGTAAGGTTTCTCTGTAGTGCATTAGAGCACATTTCCCCCAAGCACCCCTCTGTCCCTACGCCCATCACCCACCAGCCCCGGGCTACGAAGAGCAGAGGGGCCACCGCTGGCCTCTTGCTCCCTCGTCAGGGACAAAGCCACCGGAGAGAGTGGACGGAGAGAAGAGTAGGACCTGAAGAAGGAGGGACGCTCGGGCATTTTGCGGAAAAGACCTTTTAGACCCTGGGTGGCTGACTTTTTAAAAAGTTAACGTTAAAGAAGTAGGGATCTTTAGCAGTTAAAAATCCACCATAGACCTATGCCTAAGGGAACTGCAAGGGTGAAATACCACAGGAGCTCATATCTGAAAGCTTCTACACAGGGGAGTGGCAAAAGCTGTATCGACCCTGTTCCCCGAAAGTAAGACAGCCCCCCCAAAATAACACCTACTTACAGTTTTGCCTCTCGCTGAAATATAAGGCATCCCCCAAAAAATATGGCCCCCCCGAAGCTACCGTAACTCTGGTGCCGAGCAGCTCACTGTTGGCCGCAGGGCAGCCGGAGTAGACAGAAAGTGTGAGGGCTCCTTTAACAAAACAATAAACAATAAATGTGTACCGTATTCTTCTTCATGGAAAAATGAGGCATCCCCTGAAAATAAGACCTAGCGCATCTTTGGGAGCAAAAATTAATATAAGACACTGTCTTATTTTTGGGGAAACAGGGTAGTTCCAGTTGACATGATTGAGTGCTACTGAAGGCTTCCCAGATAAAGAGCTCCAGTAACGCTGCCAGTACAGTAGAGCACCCTCTAAGTCAGGACTGCAGAGGTCTGACAATTATGACGGGACCTGGACACCTGATGACGCAGAAATGAAAATGAGGAAATTATAAACTGAACTAAGGATCCAAAATTGAATTAAGAGAATGAAAATCTCAACTATACAGTAATACATTTTTAATGAAATTAAATGACAAAATCAAGGAATTTTACAATAATTCATTAAGCTAAATAGCTACAGAAATACACAGATTGAGAGATCTTTGCTGATGTCAGATGGATCTTGGCTGAAAGCAGAGTAGAGCAGACAAATTTTTACCTGAGTTTTATTGACTATGCAAAAGCATTCAACTGTGTGAATGTTAACAAATTATGGATAACAGTGTCAAGACCGGGAATTTCAGAACATTTAGTGTGCTCATGTAGAAGGCAGGTGTATGAGGAGGCTTCAAGAAGTTAATGGAATTTAAAGATAATGGAATTTTCCCATAAATTGTGCAGCCCCCTCATAAACCAAAAGAGAATACTGCTTAATTTAAAATAAGGAAAAGTGGGTCAAGGTTGTATCCATTCACCAGACTGATTCAATCTATTTGCTGAGCAAACATAACCTGAGAAGCTAGAACAATGCAGCATCATGACTGCAAACTTATTAACAACCTGCAAAAAACCACAACCTTGTTTACTTAACGTGAGAGGAAGTGTCAAGAATTTCCATTGATGTGGAATCCACCAGCAATGCCTAGGAAAGCAGCAGTCACGAGGTCAAAAGAGGTTGTGCCTTGGACACGTGTGCTGCGAAAGCTCTCTTTCTAACAGGGGCGCCTGATCCAGGCCATGGTATTTTCAACCTCCCGCGTACACACAAAAGCCGGACACTGAATAAGGAGGACTAGAGAAGAAGGCATACACTTAAATTGTGCTGTCAGTGAAGACACTAGATATACCACGGACGGCCAGAAGAACAAACAAATCTGTCCTGGAAGAAGGACAGCCAGAATGCCCCTGAGAAAGCAGGGCAGTGAGCTTCATCTCACATCCTTTAGACATGTTAACAGAAGGGACCGGCCCTTGGCGAAGGACAGCATGCTCGGTAAAGGAATGGGTCAGCAAAAAGAGGGAGACCTTCAACAAGAGGGGCAGACACGGTGACTGCAAAAATGGGCTCAAACACTGCAAGAGCGTTCCGCGGTGCAGAGTCACGGGCTCGGCGGCGGCAGCGGGGAAGTTCCCGTAAGTTCCACTTGAAATTGGGAAAATCATTTGGAACTTAACACGATTTTCCTTTCTTCTCACACATGAAACTATAAAATATCTCAATCAAGAAAATCACATCCCCCCAAAATCACATCAATCTTGGGTCTTTAAGCATACAGATAAATCTGGTTGATTACACAATGAGTTACATTTTTCTTTAATAGTTACTACATTTATCAAATTTTAACATTACCTGAAGAAGTAACTGTCTTAACTCTGTAAGCAGATAAGCAGTTAATAGAACAGAAAAGCTCTGTTTTTCCCGAGTCATTCGTAGTCTCAATCATTTCTGCTGAAGGTCTCAATCATTTTCCTAGGGCATATGGAGGAGTTTGGGCTGAATTCTAGTAAGAAAATCAAATAACATAAGATGACTCATACAAACACATGTACATGTTGATTTAAAACACCAAAAAGCTACACATCACCACAGCGTCTTATCGAAATACTTGAGAGTAACAAAAAGGTCACACGAAGTATTATACTTGAGGTATGGGGAAAAGTTATTTTAGGAAATAAGAAAATGTAAACAAAAGAAAATCAGTAGCTATTGAGACAGAAACCTTTAACAACACATTATAAATAATGAATTAAATTGTCATAACAGACTTTTCTCGTCCCAAATAGCCAGAAAAGATCAAGTAACCAGTGCATTAGCCAAAGGAACCTCCTCAATATAGATTTGGAATTCAATCTAGGATGGAGTCTACCACCTCTCAGATTCTTAACTTTCAAGATAGTTTACCAAGAAGTATTTAGGAAAGATGTTTAATACATATACAAAGATCCTCGATGAGGGCAATGAATGTACAAATACGCTTTACACAATTGATGTATGTATGGATTGTGATAAGAGTCGTATGAGCCCCTAATAAAATGATTTTTAAAAAAAGAAATGGTCAAACGCAAAAAAAAAGAACTGCCTATTTTTCAAACTGAATTTAAATTTTGCCTAAAATTTCTCTTATAAGAAATAATAAAAATGACTACCATTTTCATAAAACTATATCACCACTTGGTTGTTTATCATGGGCCATGTGTCCCATGGTAAACAATAGCTATATATCTATATACTGTTATCATCTAATCCTCTTAACTATATACCAGCTGCCAAGTCGATTCCAATTCATGTGTGTTACAAGAGAACTGTGCTCAATAGGGTTTTCGAGAGCTGGCTTTCCAGCTACTGAGAGGCCTCTGAGTAGACTCAAACCTGCAACCTTTCGGATAACAGCACAACCCATGAATTGTTTGAAACACCCTGAGATTCCTTAACAATATCATGAGGTACTTAAAACACATTTTACTCTAAAAATTTAACTTTAAGTTTCTTTTTTTTTTTCCCCCCCGAGTCCCCTCCCGCGCCATCTTTAATTTTCTTAACAAATAACTGGTGTGTGTTTTGCTGTATATTCTCAACAAATTTTAAAAAACACAAAACAATCCAAATCACTAAGCAACATCTGACACAAAAATGATCTACTTAATAACCAAATTAATCTATTATGTTCATACAGATTAATAAAAATTATTGGAAGTAGTCTAATAGGGCAATATGACCACATTAAGTCCAATGCTTTCTGAAACATATTACATATATATATATATATTTCTTTTTTAAAGGAAAAAGTTCAGAATCACTGATTTTATCACCTCTTAAATTCTTAGTCTAGTTGATTTACATTAATAAGAGATCCATATACCAAAAAGTATTTCCTTCTTACAGCAATCATGGAGTTACATTTGAGACCTTAGCAATGAAGGGAACCTGTCACACATTATTGAGTTCACCACAGTCTCTCCCACAATCATCTCTCACAGAATGAAAATCAACTCTATTTTTCTGGAAGGGAAATCACACACTAGTGTTCACTACTGGGAAGAGCCCACGCTGTCCTTGTCCAGCCGACTCGGAAGCCTGCCTAACTATATACAAGAGACTCATATTCTTACCTGCTTGTATGCTGTGCCACTCATTTTTTTTTAACATTTTATTAGGGGCTCATACAACTGTTATCGCAATCCATACACATATCAATTGTGTAAAGCACATTTGTACAT